GATGCGGAACTCGATCCCAGGACTCCAGGATCATGCCCTGGGCCAAAGGCAGGTGCTAAACTGCTGAGCCACCCAGGGATCCTCTCACATGTGTTCTTATTACAAAACTCACAGATATTTGCTCACTCACAAGCCTTTAGCTACAAAACATGCAAGCAGTATTCATGTTCTTACTCCAAACCTGATTTCATCAAGAAATCTTTAGAAAGCACAAACTCCTTGCAGCTAAGAGGACCAGGATGCTGCAGGGTTGCTGTGACTTCTCTTTAGATCTCTTTTTAAAATAGTACAGAAAACAAAAAATCAAAGAGACCCAATTGTACGCCAGTACATCAGTAGGGAATTGGGCATATGCATTATGCTACATCAATATAGCAGATGATCTGAACGTGTGTTTGCATGTACATTTTTAAAAATCTAGACGCATATATGTTAAAGGTACTCATTCAGGGTGGTGAACTTATTGGTGATTTTCAATTTCTATTTTACTTACTTTTTGTATTGTCAAAAACTTGCCTAATGAGTATATATCTGTACAAATAAATAAGTACATAAAGATAAATACGTACAGAAGCCAATACATAAATCTTTTTTTAATTTGGAAATAAAATATTTATGAAGCATGTTCTTATTAATTCAGGAGCTGAATCTCATGATGCATATACCAAAACATATTCCTTTATACTGTACAGAACTGAGATAAAGAGCTTGTAAGTGGCGGTCCAAGGACTTTCCGGCACATCTGGCATCAAAGATCTCAACCTCCAACATTCCATTATGTACAGAATGATTGGTGAGGCCCTCATTTGTCACCCGGAAATTCTATATTTCAGGACAGAATTGTTTCCCCTTGCTGCTTATTGCTTTTTATGTTGTTGTTGTTGTTCATATGTATTTATCTCATCTCACCAATTACTCTGTGTTTCTGAACGGTGAGATCCATTTCTTTTATCTAATGTGTCGCACCATTTCTGCACAGTGCCCAGGCTAGCATTAGGCATTTAGTAGTCATCCCCAAAGTACAGGAATTGTTAGTTATTTTTTAATCTGAGTATGTTCCTCCAGCCATAGTAGCGATTATAAATGGGCAGTCCATGGGTGGATTTGACCTGCAAAACATTTTTCAAGTATAGAATATTTTAAAAAATTTTAGCTGCTTGCCAAGATTTTTTAAAACACTGAGAGATTTCATACCAAAACCCAGGTTTCCAGCTGTTCTTGAAAAATCAAAACATCAGGTCGATCAGATCAACACTCCCACATGGCACAGTGTGCTGAGAATGACAGTGGCTGTCTCCTTTAGAAGGACAATATGTTCTCCGTTTTGCCACAGTCTTCACTATTCCTGATTGCTTCACCTCTGTTCTAGTTTACTAGCTAATGTTATTGATCTGGTCCCTGACTTCGTTACTTCTGAGTTCTCTGCTTGGTTTCTCAAACTTACAAATCTCTGGGTCTTCACTGCTTGGCCTATATTCTGTTCAGGCTTTTGACCATACTCTTCTGTAACTGGAGCAATTTCTTTCAGGGAAGCTGCTTGGACATGCTGAATTCATCATGAAGTCCTTTCTGGATTCCTTCTTCCAGATGCATCTTTTCAACGTCTCTCATATATTGTTGTCCATCTTGTCTACAGATTAAGCGCTTGTCACAGGGCCCCATACATTGTAAGCTCTCAAAACACCTCAATCTTACTATTATACCTTTTCATGTACCCATTTTTTTCTTCCAGATCATAAACTCGTTGCTACCATGAAGGATGTTACTCATCTTTGACCGATTTGTAGTCATTTGTACAAAATTGGTGCTTACTAAATGTACATTGAATTAAATAGGAATACACACACAGTATTTAACTCAAGAGTTTAATAATGTAGGGTGGGAAAAAAGAATCCCTAGGTCAATAAGATGGGGTGGGCATCGAGGGGTGTGGAGGGGAGAGCAATGCAGTGTTTCTCAAGTAGCCCCCCGAAAAGCTTGTTAAATATGCAGATTTCTGGTCCCTGAGCCTTCTGGAGCTGGAGTCCAGGAATGTGAGGTTTTATCAACCCTAACCCCAGAGATTCTGATATAAATGCATCAACTATTAAAAACAAAGATAAACCCTCCCTTCTAATATGCAGCCAGAATTGGTAATTCTATACTACAGTAAGAATAAAGAAAACAAGTTTTGTTTCTTTGTTCTGCTGCATTTTGTTTTTTATTTTACTATTTTGGGTATTTTATAAGTATTTATCAGAAGGTTGAAGCTGGAAAGAGAGCTGTCCCCTCTCCTTTAATAATAACCACCAATATTTATTAAGAATTCATCATGGGCCAGACATGATTCCAAATACTTTTTATGTGCTAATTCAATCCTTACAACAATCCTATAAGGTTGGCATTATCATTATCCCTATTTTAGGTTGAGTAATTGGAAAAGTTGAGCTTCAAACCCAGATATAACAGCCTTGGAGTTCCCATTGGCAAGCCAGGGCCTCTTTGCTTCCAGAAAATCCAGTAAATATCCTGCATCTTCCAGAAATCTCTCTAGACTACTCTGGCTGACCACATCAACCTTACTGACATCACCTACATCGCATTTTTCATGTAAAGTCTGCATCTGGTGCCCCCGCCCCAAAACATACAGCAAGCACTTTTTGGAGGGCCAACCTGGTGCTATTCATTTCCCCTGCGTTGCTCCACTTTGCTGTACACTCCCTGGAATGTTCTCTAGAGCCCATGCCGTATGTATTGACTTTCTCTTCCCCAAGAAATTATGTGCACTTACGAGGGGAGAGTAAGCCATTACTCTTTGCACTGCCGCCTTACTGGGGGCCCTTATGCTGCAGCTCACAGTGAACAGACAGTAATGTGCAGTGGTTAGGGGGTCTTCAGATCTGAATTCAAAGACAGGTACAACTGTGTTCCAGTTTCCTATTCTTGGATGGGTCAATTAACCTCTCTGACCCTTAGGTTTTTCCTGTCTGCAAAACAGAAGTCCATTAACTGACCTTGAATGAGCCACTGCTGTGTGGCATGGGCTGAACAAGGCCAGCATAGACCAGGTACTTATGGGGCTTCTAGGTATCCCTTTTCTCCCAGAACTAAATGACATAATTCCAAGTGAAGTGCTCCCTTTGCTCAGGTCTGGGGAGCACGCAATAGCTGCTCAACAAATGTCAGCTATTCATTCAATATATTCTATTTAATTAGATGCAAGTAGTCCATTCAACACCAGAAGAAAATTTAATTAAACTTCACACCACACAGAGGTAATATGATACATCACTCCATCTAAAAGCCATCTCAAGGCTTTAGTGCTTCAGATCTTGTTTTCCACTTCATGTCCATAGCAGCTGTGCCAGACCTGGGAAATCAAGCCAGGCCTCCCTCCCCCACTTCATCCTTCTCTGCAGGCTGGCGATCCGTCAAAAGAAGAAGAGAAAGAAGGAAAGACGAAAGAGGAGGAGAAGTGCCCAAGCCAGGGTTACTGACACTGTGATCTCTTTCAAACATGGACATTGACTAATCAACTAAACTTTCCACAAAACGCAGAGGTATCTATAATTGCGGGGTCTCATAACAATTTTTTTTATTGATTTAGTCTTAAAAATAATTTAATTTACACTCCTACTGTGCCCCCTTCCTCCCTTGCCTGTGTTTGTGTGGATTCCCTAATCCCCAGAGCCACGCTGAGATGGACACACTGTCTGTAAACCCCTGGGTAACTGTCAAGTCATGATCCAGGCTTCAGGTTGTTCTGTATAAAATACAAAATAAATGTTTTTATTAACAATTAAAAAATAAAAATAAATAAAAATAATTCAATTTGGGCACCTGGGTGGCTCAGTGGTTGAGTGTCTGTCTGCTTGCAGATCCCAGGGTCCTGGGATTGAGTCCTGCATGGGGCTCCCTACTCGGAGCCTGCGTCTCCCTCTGCCTGTCTCTGCCTCCCTCTATGTGTCTCTCATGAATAAATAAATAAAAATCTTTAAAAAATGAATTAATTCACAGTATATAGAGAAGTGGGTCCGTCAATGGGACCCACGTTCAAAGCTGTTTTGGAAATACTCCCTCTGGGTCCCGCCAGGCACCTCTGGTGTTCTACTCGTCCACTCATTTGGAGATGAGGTCAGAGTCCCAGGAGCGGGTCCTCCCCTCATGGTCCTCCCGTCTTCCTCCACTCTTCTCGCATTTGCTGCATCAGATCGAGCTGCAGTCTCTGTCTTGTCACTTATCAGCTCTTTGCGTCAACCTCTGGAGTTTCCTCACCAGTAAAGAGAGCGTAAGGAAACGCAACTGAGTCACAGGACTGTTCTGGAGGGAAAGAGCCAGGCATGGGGTAGGCTCTTTCTCCCTCTCTTTTCACTCTTCTTTCCTCTCTCTCCTTCCTTCTCCCGTACCTACCACTCTCTCTCTCTCCTTCCCTCCTTCCCACCGCCACTCCCCCCCCCCTCCTTTCTCTCTCTGTCTTTTCTTTCAAGAGGAGCCACCAGGTTCGCGGGCATCTCAGATCAAGTCGGTGGCCGGACCCGCTCCGGTTCGGGGCCGGATCCCCGCCGCGCCTCCGCCCCTTTATTCTAAGGGCAGTCGGGGCTTGGGATGCTGAAGCCTGGGAGGCCAACCGAGCCGTCCGCGCGCCTGCAGGCAGGGGAGGGCTCGGGGCGAGGGATGGAGGGGCGCGGGCTCGTGCCCCCTGCACCCCCCCTCCCGGCCGCGCCAGCCGCTCCGCGCCCCTTGGCACCAGCGCCTTTTCTCGGTCGGGGTAGGCGAGCCCAGCCGGCAGCCGCGCGGCGGGGGCCGAGGGCGCCCCCTCCCTCCTCCCGCTCCCCTCCCCTTCCTCCCCGCCCGATACAATGACTGGGCCGGAACAGCGCATCAGCCGAGTCTCATTGGCAGCGGCCGCCCCGGCCCCCGGAGAGGCGGCGGCGGCGGCGGCGGCGGCGGGCGGGGGCAGCTGCGGAGAGCCGAGCCGGGCGCCCGGGCTGACAGCGAGGCAGGCGGGCGGCCGGGCGCAGCGCTCAGTGTGGACCGAAGCGGGGACGCGCGGCCCCGGGCCGGGGATGCGGCTGGCGCCGGCCGCCCAGCGAGCCCGGGGGTCGGGCTGCGCGCCTCCCGTGCAGGGCAGGAGCTCGGGCCGGGAGCCGGAGGCAGAGGAGGGCGCGGCGCCCCGCGGAGTTGCTGGCAGGGCTGGCGCAGAGCCGGCCCCCCGGGTCCCGCGCGGTGAGCCACCGAGACAATAAAGTAGCGGTCGGCAGCCCCCGAGCGCCCGAGGAGGCGGCGGCGCGGCAGGTAGGCGGGCGCCGGCCGGGGCGGGGGTGGGCAGCGCGCGGCGGGGGCGCGGCCGCTCCGCGTGCGCCCGGGGCGCAGAGCGCACGGCCGGAGACCCCCAGCGGAGGCGCGGGCTCGGGCGCTCGGGGCCGGAGCGGGGCGGGGGGGCAGGAAACCCCGCCCACGGCCCCGGGGCCGCAGCTGCCTCCGCGCGAGCCCCGGGGGCACTTGGCGCGGCGCTGGGGGCGCTCGGCTGGCGTGGAGACAGGAAGTTTAGCGGGTTTGAGGCGTTGGCGCTGGTGGGGTTTGCAAACGCGCCGCCGGGGACCATGTGCTCCGGCGGTTGCGCGTCCGTGGGTGGTGGGAGAAACGCTGATGAATCCCAGATACTTTGAAAAGGCGGGGCCCGGACTTGGAGGGGAATCCCCGGTGTCAGCGGCGCGGGCCCGGGCTTCGGTGTGCCTGCCGCGTTTTCAACTCGGACCGCTCCCTGGGCTGGAAAGGCAGCGTGCGTGTGTGGATCGCTGCCTATTTTTCTGGACCGTTTCACCTTTCACCTTCGTGTGTGTGCCTGTGTGAGTGCACGCGCGCGCGCGAGTGTGTGCGCGCGTGTCTGGGTCAGGGGGAGGGGACAAAGATGCTATTTTTGAGAGATGCCATTCGGTGTGGACTGGAAGATAAACTCTTCCTGTGCCCCGAACACCTTGTGCTCTGAACGGTGCTGCAGAGCAGCGGCTGGTGCTGTTGACAAAGGGGGTGGGAGCTGGTCGGGGAAGTCTTCCCGAGCCGAGAAAGCAGCCGCAGGAGGTGGTCTCCTTGCTCTCCTTTGTGTGGCCGCTTCCTTCCAGATGTGAGAGGGTTGGGCTGGGCGCTCCTGGGTGGGATCATAATTATCCCTGAACATTCCTGCGATCTGCTAGGACTTGTAAACATACCCGAGCCAACTCCTCTGAACTTTGCGGACCAACTTGGTGCGCTCGCTGGTACCCAGACGGCGGCGTCTGCAAGGTGGCCCCTTCGGAAGAAGGACTGCGAGGGCTGGCAGCGGCAGGCTCTCCGGGAAGCGGGGTGGGCGTGCACGCCTAGCTAGTGTTTGCCCCAGAAAGTCACCAAACCCAGTTGGAGGATGTGTACGGGATTTTCGCGCAATCCCGGACATGCTGCTTCCTGTACTAAAGGGAATGCATCTGTGGAACTTCCAAATCAAATATCTGGAGAAGGAAAACAGCTTCGCCTTGCTTAACCTCCTCGGGCTGCACTTTCATCTGCCATACACATGCTGTTGAGCATGGTGGTGGGGAGCGTATGGTGTGTCAGGCGTCCCGGTAGGGGACGCTTTGGGGGCATCATGAATGGTCTGTGGAGTGGTAAGTGGAGCCCCGAGGGAGAATAAGTGACTTGCCATGAGTCACATTGGTAATTTGGAGTTGACCTGAGGTCTGATTCCAGATGCCAGTCTGTTAACCACGACAGTGCCTCTAACGGGGATGTGCTGTAATGGCATCAATGATGAGGAGGGAAATAATAGTAGTAACAATGAGCACCTCACATGTATTTTTCATTCCATTATATAACATGACGGTGACTGACCCAAAGCAAACAGTATCTATTTTGGTCTCTCTCCTTTTTTTTTCTTAATATTTTATTTATTTACTCATGAGACACACACACACACACACACACACACAGAGAGAGAGAGAGAGAGAGAGAGAGAGAGAGAGAGAGAGAAGCAGAGACATAGAGAGGGAGAAGCAGGCGCCGTGTAGGAAGCCAGACGTGGGACTCAATCCCAGGACTCCAGGATCACGCCCTGAGCCAAAGGCAGACACTTAACCCCTGAGCTACTCAGGCGTCCCTATTTTGGTCTCCGAATTAAATGTCACAATGTGGGACTCGATCCCAGGACTCCAGGATCACTCCCTGGGCCAAAGGCAGATGCTTTAACCACTGAGTTACTCAGGTGTCCCTATTTTGGTCTCCGAATTAAATGTCACAAACTAGGTGATGGTTATATTGATAAGCCTATGATTCTTTTTTTTTTTTATATCCAGGAATGTTGTAATAAATAGTAAAGCACAAGCACATACATTTGAACACTGCTTACATTTCCTAAAAGACTGGATCCCAGGTCCCCAGGATCAGGCCCTAGGCTGAAGGCGGTGCTAAACCACTGAGCCACCCGGGCTGCCTACATTTCCTAAAAGAGAGCCAGTAGAATTCAGGCAATTCCAAGGACTTCTTACACAGGAGAGGTTACTCGCTTCTTCATGACATCCGCAAATATTAATCAAACATTTTATTTGTTTTGATTCGGTAATGCAGGTGGAATGTATTTGAAAAATATAATGATGGAAGATGAAGAAATCTACCTAAAATACCATTATAGTGAGGTTTGATATTCATTATCCCTGGGAAAATTCTCAGAAGTCCCTTTTCTGGGGGGTGAGAGCAATTGTCTTAAACTTCACTCTGCTTTGAAATGAACAGATTTTCATCTTGGTGGCACAACCGTTCATGGCTTCTCAAACAGGTCAGGCAACTGCATTTGACCCTAATAATCGAGAATAACTTGGGGAGGAGTTAAAGCTTCAGCCATTCAAGAGTGTAAAAGCAGCTAAGTTTTCTCAGGGTTGTTTACAGACACTGGCCTCTGTTTCTAGCAAGCATGAGAATCTGACTTCTCCATTTGATTCCACAGATTTAATCAAGACTCTGCAGTGCTTCTGAGCAGACAAAAAGGACGTTTTGGCTAACTGACAATACAAATAAGGTATACATGGAAAGCGGTTAAAAATACCCTGTCTTATCCAGCCTGCAGTAATTGCCTAAAATTTCAGGAACTCTTCATAGTTATTTTACACACAATACACACATAAGTGAAGGCTTGAGGTTTATACTGTAAGTGACCTCTCTCTCTTTCTCCTCCTCCCTCCCTTCCTTTCTCTCTTCCTATCTCCCTACTTCCCTCTGCATCTGCCCCAGAGATCTGATCTTATCATGAAGACACTATTTTTACATACTCAGTAACTGCTGAGGTTCACTGAAATTACTGTCTTCAGCCTATGTAGATAAATAAATCATGTAACTCAGCTCAGCAGCAGGACTTAAGTGTTTTTCCTTAATGTAGTTCTCACCTATCTCTTTTTAGACATGGTTTTTACTGTGTTTTTAGAAAATGTTTGGTGTTTTTGTTTTTCGTTTGTAATTCATTTACTTCTAGGTCATTAAGATTTTTTTTTTCCTTTTCTGGTAAACATGTCCTGGGTAGATTAAAGAGAAATGGTAACAATTTTCTGTTGCTAAACCCTTGAGTTTATTATTGCTAAACCCAAACGTCCTATTTTCTTCAATAATCTGATTGAAATTATCATGATGTTTCTTATCTCACTTTTTCTGGTGAAATCAATTTTTAGCCTAATCTCACAAGGCAGTGTTTTTTTTTAAAGCTAAGGTCATGAAATCAATTTAGTGGGCTGCAACCAGTATTTTTTTTTTAAAGTATAACAGGACAGAAAATATCAGCCTTATCCTATGTTTGTGAGTTCTGTTGCTTTATGAAACTTTGAGTCCGTTCTCTCACTCGGGCTGCATGCACATTCTGGGTTGCAGTATAAAATGTAATTCTTACTGTGAGTTGCTCTGTAAAAAATTGGAAAGCTACTGCCACAGGGTATATTTTCCTAATAAGTGACAAACACCCAATTTAAATGAAACTAGGAGATAGGCATGTGTATATATATATATATATATATATATATATATATTAGCTTATATATGTTAATACATACAACTTCAAGTTATTGCAAGATACATACCTAGAACTGGCCTCAAGAGCATCTTGCTCAGAGCTGAACAATGACTTCAGAATCTGACTTCTTTCTTTTCATATTCACCTCTTTCTCTTCTTTCCTCTGTGTATGAGGCACCTTGTTGGCTGATTAGCTGACTGTAGCAGTTGCTGCTTTACAAAATTTCAGGTTCAAATCCAACAAAAATAAATAAATCTCTTTTGCCCAGTTGTTGAACAAAAAGCCTCCAAACCAGTTCCAGTTGGCCTAGTAGGCATGGTTTGCAGGAAAGCCCTGGTGCCAAATGACTTCTGTGGAGGTTAAGGACTTTGCCTTGTGATAGACTCTCACCTATACCACACGAACTGTGAGCTGGACCTCCAGATGAATACATTTGCTGGAAAAAGGGGAAATGGAAGCTGAGGAAGTCAAACATTTGCTGAAATGTACGAGTGTCTTAAGTCATTGACAGCCGATTTCTGTTCTCTTTGATTCTCCAAAGAATGGAAGATGAGCTGAATTATATTCAGGCAAATAGGTTATCAATATGATTTCTCGTGTGCGTAAGGAAGCCTTGGTCACTTTTAACATGGTCAGTGTCAGGACTTACGAGATCACTATGCAGAACAGGTCAAGTTGTTAGTGGTTGCTCTACTTTCCAATGACACCGAGGGAAAAAAGGCAGATATATAGATTAAAAATCCACTACAGACCCTAAACCTCTTACAAGGGGTCATCTGGATCCTTTTTGCACTTATGTGCCAATCTTGGAAGGCATTTAATTTAATCACTTTGTTGCGCTAATGTGGTGAAAGTAGTTCTTTAAGTGGTGTCTTTCATCAAATTGTTTGAAGAATACACCCCCATAAGGGCCAAGGCCAATGAGTTTTCTCCTCCACAGCTCTTCAGCATTGAGATATTTATCTGGGTCTATGTTACTTTGCCCTTGGGGATGTGCTGCTTTTAATTATCCTTTGCCACTTCACATACAATGATCCAGTGGGTAAGGGGGCCCTAATTGTGTGTGGCTGTGAGAATAATGTTGCTTCACAGCAGAAGTTCCCTAGAAGTAGTGTGATCATGCTGGCTTGCCTGGGTCAGCCCTGGTTAATGTCTGTGACTTTGGTTTGGATGATAAATTATATGGTCACCCCACCTAGGTTATTTTAGGGGGCCATGATTAGAGGCCTTTTTAATGGATTAAAGTTTAAAGAATTCTTTTCACCAGGCAGG